TAAATATGAATCGGTTGCCAAGCATTCCAGTTTTGATCATATGAGCACAGGGAATGCTCCAAGGGTCATAAATGTGAAAAAACTATCATGTTACTTTTTTCAGTGCTGTTGTAACTTTGAGCTGTCACTAAATGAACTTGTAAATCAAGGACTATCTGTATATTAATGCATTGTCATTTTAAGTTTAATTAATCACTGCTTTCTATGAGCTGTAAATACTGCTCTGTTCTGACCCTCCTTGTCCTACACCAAAGCACGCCGAGACAAAGATACTTCAAGGATTTATTAACACACAGACAAGACCTTGGCAGCAATCCAGCACAGACTAACCTTGGCAGCAATCCAGCCTGCCAAGCTAGACACGAGAGTTCTCCAACTCTTAGTGAATACGTTAACTCCTGCAACGAGTGTGTGCACAATCATTCCTTTTATAATCTTGAGAGGAGCCTAATTACCACCAGCTGAGTGCAATTATCTCCAGTAATTGGGTAACTGTTCCTTACGCCTATTAGCTCTCCATTGCTGGGCATCCAGGAAGCACTCCCTTGTCTCCTCCCCACTGCTCCAATGCATGACGACGATCACACTCCCTTGTCTCCTCCCCACTGGTCCAAGGCTCAGGCACCCCCTGGTGGCCAACCAGCCTCTCTGCACCCTGCTCGGAGTCAGAACCCTGTCCAGGGTCCTCCACATCCTCCAGAGCCGACTCATAGGGCCCCTCTCTTACTAAATAATGTGTCCAGCCAGCCCTATGTTCCTCAGTTTGTCCTTGGCTGCTTTTTCTTACTTCTTCCCGTGACCCGACAAATGCGCGCCCGACAACAGCGCGCCGACAAAACCGCGGCGATAAAACCACGGCGTTGACAGCGCACCTACAAAGGCGCGCCCACAAAGGCGCGCCGACAGAAGCACGATTAGGGTTAAGGTAAGCGTTAGGGTTAGGGTTAGGGTTAGGTTCAGGGTTAGGTTTAGGGTTAGGTTTAGAGCGCGCTTCTGTCGGCGCGCTGTTGTCAGCGCGCTTCTGCGCTCATTCATCGGCGCGATTTCAAACTCACAGTTCTCTCCCCGCGCTTTTGTCGAGCGTGCATTTGTCGGTGAACCACTTCTTCCAAGGGAAACAAAGCAGACTCCATGGTTCAGACAACAGACTACATGGACCATGGACAGAATCATCCATATTTTTGTAGGCGGAGTTAACAGACGTGACTCAGAGCACACTGCTCATTTGCGTGTTTTTATTTCCAAGGGCTGCTGGGGAAATAGGAGGTGGCATGGAGATGCAGT